GGGGGGGGGGGGGTAGGAGAGGGTTTCTCAGAGGCTCAACCTTCTGCCTTCATGGCCCCAGCAGAGCACAGGGCTGAAGATTTGGGAGAGGAAGGCTGCAAGTGACCCAAGACTCCCGTGGCCGCATGGGACTCTGAGGGCCTGAGTCTCCAGGGAACTCGGGCCTCCTTCCACTTAGTCTAGGGGACGCAGCTGCCTCCTCTTTCTCACAGCTGGGGGTTACTACTCCCTGGTGCAGACAAAGGGAGCTGGCACTTGGTGGCAGGACGTGTTCCAGCGAGGGCTGCTCAAGAGAGCAGGGGCGGGCCGGGACTGGGGCTGTGTCAGTGGGCCACGGGAGACTCCAGCTTCTGCAGGCGGCGGCGGCGGAGCTCTGCGGCGTCAGGCTCTCCGTCCTCGGGCAGCTCCTCTGTGCCCACCGACTCACGAGCTGGGGGGCGGAGTGGTCAGAAGTGGAACCAGGGAAACCCTTGGCCCCGACTGTAGGCTGCAGTCCCCTGCGGGCTGATCACACCCACCTGGAGGCTTTTCAGCTTCAGTGGCTGCTGGGGAGGCTCCTGGGGACGAAGTTGTGGCCTCGAAGCTGGGGATGCTGGTGGAGGAGGCAGCAGTGGCCACCGTCGGGGCCGTCTCTTCAGTGGGGTTGACCGAAGTGGCTGGCCGGGGAGGCCTGGGAAGAGAAGGGATGGGGGGCTGGCCTTGGCATCCTGGTCGGGCGCATCCTCCTGCCCTTGGTGAGCCTTGCAGGACAGCCCAGAGCGGTGTGCTTCTGCAGCCCCAGGGACTGGTGGACACCCGTGAGTGTGCCTGGAATGGGCTCTTGTGGGCGAGGGATTCTGTCCCCTAGGTTGTAAACCATTCACAGGCAGAGGCTTTTGACCTTCACTCTTCCCCTGCAGTCTCTGCCCTGGGGTGTCAAGATACCTACTGAGTAAGAGTATTCATGCCTAAGACTCAAGGTCCCCTCCACGCCTGTACTGTCACCATCGGGTGCCAGGCATTACATACATGTCACTTACGGAGAGGAATTAAAACCCTTCTGTTCCATAAGGTAAAGGAAGTCACTAAGCAAGTGAGCTCTGGAACCAGTACTTGAACTTGGGCCAGGATGGCTCCAAGTGACTTCCTTTTGCTCCCTCAGTTTAGGGGCAATTCCCTGAACTGAGTCATCATACGGCGGGGGGGGGGGAGGCGTCATGATATCAACAAAAACCCTGCGAATTCTGGAGAATTTCATTTCAAAAAAATATAAAGGAACAAGAGCCAAGGTCAGCGCTCTCAACACTGCTCCCACTCGATCCAGACCTGCCTGCTTCTGGCGTGTTAGGCTAGAAAGTCCCCGGAGTCACCGAGAACCCTGAGACCCTGGATCGGCCTGCAGAGAGGGCCCGGCACAGGGTGGCAGTGAGACTGAGGCCCAGGACCGCCGTGGGGCCCTTCTCCGTGTCACCTGTCTCCCACCCGGCCAGCCCACCTCCCCGCGTGGGCAGACACACCCCAGGGAGGCCAGCACAGTGAGGTACTGGTTGATCTGCAGCATGGCGGCGTCCAGCAGCGTGTGGATGTTGCGCAGGCTCTGCAGCCGGGCCTCCAGGTGCTGCCGCTCGTGGCCCTCCAGGGCGCGCAGCTCCTCTGGGGTCAGCCCGGCAAAGCCCGCGGGGGGCACGGGCATCGGGGGGAAGGCTGGGGAGAGGCAGATGTTCAGGCTGGGCTGCCCGGGGCTGGCACCAGCCTGGTCCCCCGGAACAACCTAGAGCCGCCCGACCTACCGAAGGGAGGAGGCAGGGGCATGCCCATCCAGGGAGGAGGGAAAGGGAAGCCCGGGGCCGGGCCAGCCTCTGGGGCAGAGCCAGAGCCGGGTGCTGAGGCCGTGGTGGCAGCCGTACTGGTGCCAGCCGCCGTGCTTGTGGCTGCTCCGCTGGGCCGAGAAAGGGCTGAAGAGCAGGAACAAGAAGTCAGCGGGTGTGCCATCCCTGCCACCCCCCACCATGGCAG